CGGCCCAGGCTCCCTGAAACAGAGCCCTGGCGTGGGGCGGGATGAAGCAGATAGGGCATTCTCCTCCAACACTCTCAAGATAAAAGAATTCATGGTCTTCAGGCCAACAAGCATCCACAAGGCTTCGAAGTTTTGTGGGAAAGGAAAATCAAGTAAGTAGGGGCTTCCCTTGGGTTTCAGCCAGAGCCTACCAGGAGCAGCAAAAAGCCGGGCAGCGCTGGCTTGGAGATGGAACACTCCAACACCCTCTGCACTGCCAGCCCGGAGGACTGCCACGGCTGATGTGGGGTAATTACATCCCAGTCCCAAGGCTCTTACTCTAAAACTGTGGCAAAATCTAAACTGCAAATCGCACCCTTAAACACAGGCATCTGTCATGTCTTTGAAAGGCCCCAGGCTTTCTTGTCACGTTCTCTTTCATCACCCTGCCACACTTTATCCCCATGCCACGCTGAATCAAGCTGGGTGGGACACCACAAGGGCCTGGATGCAGGGTTCACTGGTCTGATTACAGGCTGGGAATCAGAGTACTGGGGAGGCTTGCCAAGGCCCTGAAATCTGCAGGAACCTCCCAGAATAGAATGGGTCTCTTGAAGATGCTCCCAATTCCCACATTGAGGTATCATGCCCTCTGTCTGCCCCCTTGTCCTTATCCATTCTAAGCTTTAAATTACACTCCTTAAGTGAAACGAACTTGCTGCAAGCCAACTGACGCCTGTTAAAAGTCCTCAGAACGCAAGTTCCACACATGCCTCTGGGTATTGCTCTGCCCCTTACAAAAGAAAGATTGGAAATGAGCCTCACTACAGCAGCTGCTAGAGGGGTCAGAGTGGCAGGCTGATTCTGAAGAGAGGTAAAAAAAAAAAAAAGTAACACGAAAGCCTTGAAGATCACTTTTACTTTGTGGAAAAATTGAGTTCTCACAGGGCTCAGAGATTTCTTAAAAGCAGGAGTTTCAAAAGTCACCTTCCATTCATTCATTTATTCATTCATTCAACAAGCATTTCCTGTGCTCGGCACATTATTAATTGGACTGAAGGGGAGGAGGATTAGAGTCAGGAAGCTAATCACTGGATTCCTGGGGAACACGGGGAGCAAAAGAAGCCTTGAGCCCTGTAATGGCTAAGACAAACCTGCACCCTCAAAGACAACACAGAAGTTCCTGAGGAACCTGAGCGTGGGCCTAGTAGGAGGCAGGTCCAGCAAAAGGGGACCCTCTTCCTAGGGGCCAAAACTGGACAAGGAGGGAACCCCAAGTAAAATAATGGGAAGTCGGGGTTCACAAGGGAGGGGACTCTTCTAGTGTTGAGTGGAGAGGGACTTGGGTAGGCAAGGGAGAGAAGAAAGCACAAAACTCCTAAAGGAAAACAAAGACAATAAGCTCCTCGACATGAGTCTCCAAAATAACTTGTGTGGACTTGACACCAAAAGCAAAGGAAACATAAGCAATGAGATGACATCAAACTAAAAAGCTTCTGCACAGAAAAAAAAAAAAGACATTCTACAAAAAGAAAAGGAAACTCTAAAGTGGGAGAAAATATTTTCCAATCATGTATCTCATAAGGGGTTAATATCCAAAACATATAAAGACCTCAAACAGCTCAATGGCAACAACAGCAACAAAATCTGAGCTCTTAAAACTGGCAAAGAAACTGAACAGCTTCCCAAAGGAGATGCACAAATGGCCAACACATACATGAAAAGGTGCTCCAGAGCAGTAATCATCAGGGAAATACAAATCAAAGCACAATGACGTATCACCTCACACCTGTTAGAATGGCTATTACCACAAAGACAAGTGATATCAAGTGATGGAGAGGTTGTAGGTAAAAGAAAACATTTGTACACTCTTGGTAGAAATGTACACTGATGCAGCTACTATGCAAAACAGTATAGAGGTTCCTCAAAAACTAAAAATAGAATTGCCATATTACCCAGAAATCCCACAGCTGGTTATCTGCCCAAAGGAAATCAAAACAGGATATCGAAGAGATATCTGCTCTCCCAGGTTCGCTGCAGCCTTATTCACAATATCCAAGACACGGAAACAACCTTAGCATTCGTTGGTGAATAAGCAGATAAGGAAGATGTGGTATACATACATGCCATGGAATATCAGCCATGAAAAAGGAGGAAATCCTGCCATTTGCAACAACGTAGATGGGCCTTGATGGCATCACACGAAGTAACATGATCAAGACAAAGATAAATACTGCATGGTATCACTTATATGTGAAATCTCTTAAAAAAAAATAGTCTCATTCATAGACACAGTAGGAAAGTGGTTGTCAGGGTCTCAGGATGGGGCAAATAGGGGGAAATTGGTAAAACAGTACAAACTCTCAGCTGTAAGAGGAAAACAGGCTGAGGATCTAATGCAAAACATTAGACTACAGTTGATACGCCTGTATTATATCATTGAAGCTTGCTGGGAGGATAGAGCTTCAGCATTCTCACAAAAGGAAAGACAATTATATGAGGTAATAAATGGGTTAATTAACTACATGGGAGAAATCATACACACACACACACTTTAAATATCTTACAATTTTGTCAATTATACCTCAGTACAGCTGATTTTTTAAAAATTAAGCTACTTCACAATTTCTGTTATATTATACATTCTGAGGGTTAGCCACATGTCCAGTGCATCATAGAGCTAATTCTACATTCTTCTAGAATTGACTTTCTTGCTACTATTTTACTACTATTTCCTATTCCTTCTTTTTAAAATCACTATTATTAGCCTTAAATTATTACCACACAAATATAGTACTGTCTATATTAGATTTTCAGTATGGGCTATTTTTGAAATGACAAGATGGTATCTTAAACATATAAAAGGTTTTCAAAATGTGACTGTCAATTTTTCTGAAAAGCTTGACAATCATCTTCACATTTTTTCAGAAGACCTTTTTGTCTCATTTTCCATCCTTTTTTGAATCAATGACTGTTTTTATTCCACTTGGGCAGACAAATAGGCTTTTGATTTATAACAGCTGTATTCTAATAGTACACACACACACATATAAAATTTATTTTTTGACTTTATAATGCTTTTTTAAAAAACCATCAAGTAACAGGATATAGTTTGGTTCAAGGATGTTGAAATTGTTCAGGCCTTTTGAGCGAAAATAATCAAGTTATAAAGTGGTTTTGCTATACACATCTCACTACTATAAAGTTGTTTAGTTCTAGGTTTCACAATGAGAAGGCCATGCATGGTATCGATGTTTTCTTCCCTTTTCCTTCTGTCTCCATTTCACACTTAAATTCAGAAGATTATTGCCATGAATTCTTCATCCTCTGGTAACATATTTGAATTTAATTCCAGTTTTTCCAAATACCCTTCAAATTCTTCTAATTATAAAAAGGTCATGAGGGTAATCAGCTGATAACTGTAAAAATGTATATATTGGAACTCAGCAGTTTTCTGCAATGAATGCAGCTAAGACTTCATGAGGGAAAATATATGCTTATATTACAATAAAAATTAGCAACCAAACGTGGGCTCTCAGGGATATAGCCATTATTATTTCTTAATTTCCCTCTTCTTCCAAAGTATGTAAAAAGACAATAACAAGCATTAAGATAAAATCTATAGCCACATTACATTTAGATTCCAATATCTGCTTGTGATGCATCTACTTCATGTGAATGCTACAGTGGGTAGGTGCTCAATCAAACTCTTATTTCCAGAGGTGGCTAGTAGCTTTTATTTGCCATTAGGACTGACTCTAGATACCTGAACATGCATGTTAACCCCCACACTTCAAAAGCCACATATTAATATGTTAATATATGCAAATATATGAACTATTCTCTAAGGCCAGACATATGTTCACTTGGCCTATAACAGATTGGTGAACTCTGAAATGCAAGTACAAAACTCTGCATTCATTTAGTTTAATATAAAGCGTCTCATGCTTCGAGGGTAATAGTTGATTTCATCAGTTAGAAAGACATCAAATGAGACAATCTCTCTAAATCTATTACTGATTGGATCTGTAAGCCCTGGAAAAAGATGGAACTTCCTCTTGCCTTGAGCCTCCTATGTTAGTTCCTGAATGGATATGTTGGGACATGGAGGAGGTCATTTTCTAGTCCCATCTCCACAAAAACTGGAGTTCTCTCTAAATGAGAGGAGCAGTCAAGTTTACAGACGCGCCCATTTGGACAGAATCACCGAAGGACCCAGTGTCACTTCAGCCACCGTGTCTTTCTTTGAGCTCCTCCCAGCACTAGGAGGAAAGCACAATTTGTCTATTGTTTTGCTTTTCTCCTAAAATATTAAGAGTGGAGATTTAAGTAAATAATTGGCATTCAGTAGGGAAACCTATTATTATTTCTTTAGTCCGCAAAGGTCTTAAAAGACTTTAAGGTAAATTGCTTATTAGTGGTTGAGGTTTTTTGAACAAAAGTCCTCGATATTAAAAAAAAAAGTACAGATCATCAATCATTTAATGTTAAAAATATTCACACTGTAGCCCTGGCTGGCATAGCTCAGTGGATTGAGTGCGGACTGGGAACCAAAGTGTCCCAGGTTCGATTCCCAGCCAGGGTACATGCCTGGGTTGCAGACCATAACCCCCAGCAACCACACATTGATGTTTCTCTCTCTCTCTCTATCTCCCTCCCTTCCCCTCTAAAAATAATAAACAAATAAAATCTTTAAAAAAAATTTCACACTGTGAACATGTAATATTACCTACATTTATTATGTAATGTCCACCCCAGACTTTTTTGGTGACTAGGATAGGTTAAAAATAATGGCAGGTTAAAGACTTGAATCTTCTAGATTTTTGTTTTAACACACTATTTCCTAACTTCCAGGAGAATTACAGTGTCCTGACACTAAAAAATCACGCATCTGATATAACTTTGAGACCAATTGGACAGTATGTCATCGTTTTCCATTATTCATCTCTCCTATGACATCACAACCAGTTCCTAAATAGTTACTGACTCTTAGAAACAAAAGCCAAGCTTCGTGCCCTTACCTGGCACCCTCTTTGCCCAGTTGATCATGTGAACCAGCTCCCTGTCCGCGAGGTTGGTCAGCAAGCCCATCATGGAAGCCTCACTGAAGGGTCTGGTAGGATCGTACTCGGAATAGATTAGGGGGGGCTCAGCCTCCATCAAGGCATTGACCATCTGCTCGGCTGTCAAGGATAAGGCAGAGCTGTTCTTCTTCATGTGCTTGATCAAGGGAGGGTTGGGCCAAATGCTGCCAGCTCTCATGTCTCCCGAGGACCCGGCTTCGTGCCTGCTCTCCCCGTCCTCTCTCTGCCGCTTGTGTTTCAACATTCTCCCGCCTCTTCGGTCTTTCCGAATCCCTGAGAACACAGAAGCGAGAACAGTTTATTCCTTTTCTCATGTATACTTTCACACTAAAACCATCTTCGGTGCCAATAACCCTTTCTTCTATTTAAAGAAATACCTCGAGGCACAAATATGCTGGTGTTTGACAACCAGCTGTCCGGGAGATTTTTGTCAAGGTTTTGATGTGTGGCATTCACCGGTTTCCATTGCCTAAATGGCATTGTCCTACCAGGGCAAATCTGAAACTACCTGTCAGATGTCAAGCAGCTTACAAAACTCCTGAAAATTGACAATAAGCTTTTGAGAGCCAGTGCAAGCTGCCTCTGACAAACCGAGTGTCTGTTTAGGAGATGCCATAAGAAGGATAGGATTATGACTAGTTTTCCTGGTAATACAGCTCAGCATCAAATACCACTTTTGCTATGAATATTACTTAATAATAAATTAATGCTACACTGAGCTGATTCTTTTTTTTTAAGATTTTATTTTTATTTTTAGAGAGGGAAGGGAGGGGGAGAGAGAGAGAGAGAAACATCAATGTGCAGTTGCTGGGCTTCATGGCCTGCAACCCAGGCATGTACCCTGACTGGGAATCGAACCTGCGACACTTTGGTTCACAGCCCATGCTCAATCCACTGAGCTACGCCAGCCAGGCCGAGCTGATTCTTTAGAAAGATTACTAAAACGGACAAACCTATAGCAAGATTCACTAAGGAAAAAAGAAAAAAAGCTCAGACAAGATCAGAAGTGGAAGAGAAGTTACCACAGACACCACAGAAATAAAAAGGCTCATGCAAGAATACTGAAAAAGACTATCTCCCACCACAGTCAATAACCTAGAAACAATGGATAGTTTTCTAGGTATATGTAACCTTCCTAGACTGAATCATGAAGAAATGGAAAATCTAAATCAACCAATCAATAGGGAGGACATTGAAACATCCAAAAACCTCCCCAAAAGTAAACATCCAGGATGAGATGGTTTCACCAGTGAATTCTGCCAAACATTCAAAGAAGACTTAATACCTAACCTTCTCAAATTCTTCCAAACAATTAAAGAGGCAATACTTCCTAACACATTAGATGAAGCCATCATAACTCTGATACCAAAACCTGGCAAAGATAACACACATACACACACACACAACTACAGGCCAATATCTCCGATGAATACAAATGTAAAATTTCTAAACAAAATACCAGCAAATCAAATATAACAACACATTAAAAAAAATAATACATCATGATCAAGTCGGGTTCATCCCGGGAGTATAAAGACATACGCAACATACACAAATTGATCAATGTGATACACCGCCTGAACAAAATAAAGGATAAAAATCAAATGATTATGCCAACAGATGTAGAAAACAACATTTGACAAGCTACAACATCCATTTATAATTAAAACACTCAACTAAATAGGCATAGAAGGAAAGTACCTCAACATAAGAAAGGCCATAAAGGACAAACCTTAGCTTACACCCACACTCTAGCATCGGGAACAGCCAAGAGTGTCCGCTCTCACCACTGTTACTCTATACAGCACTGGAAGTCCAGCCATGGCAATCAGCAGGAGAAAGAAATGAAGGACATTCGAGTTGGGAATGGAGAAGTAAAACTGCCACTTTGCAGAAGACATGATTCTTTATATAGAAAACCCTATGCTAAATGAAATAAGCCAAGCAGTGAAAGACAAATACCACCTGACCTCACGTATAGGTGGAGCCTAATCAACTAAACACACAAGCAAGCAAAATATAACCAGAGACGTTGAAATAAAGAGCAAACTAACAGTAACCAGAGAGGCAGGGAGAGGGGGATGACAAGGGAAAGAAGGGGAAGGGTCGTCGAGGAACATGTATAAAGGACCCAGGGACAGAGGGGTAGGACTGAGTGTGGGAGGTGGGGGTGGGTGGGGCAGGGGAGAGTGGCAGGCGGGAAATGGGGACAACTATAGTTGAATAACAATAAAAAAATGAACTCATTTTACCCAAAGCAATATAGATAAACTACACAAACAAAATGATGAGCAAAAGTAGCCAGGTACAACAGAGTACACTCTCTATGCTTTCATGCAAATGACATTTGAGAACTAGCAAAATTGATCTGGCATAATGGAACTCTATAAGTGCTGGAAATGTTTTATATCTTGATTCGTGTGGTGGTTACATAGGCGTTTACACATGTAGGAATTCATTGAGCTCTACACTAAAGACTTGTGCACTTCGTTGTACGTAAAATTGTATCTCAATATAAAATTAAATTAAAAGAAATATTAAAAAAGTAAAATCATAAAGACTCAAAAAATATTAGAAACAATAAATAAATACAGGAAAGTTTCAGGGTACAAAATAAAGAACAAAAATCCATTGCATTCCTATATACTAACAATGAAATTTCAGAAAATTTAAAAAAACACTCCTTTTGCAATTGTAACAAAAAGAATAAAATACCTAGTGCTCTGGCTGGAGTGGCTCAGTAGATGGAGTGCTGGCCTGAGAACCGAAAGGTCACTGGTTCAATTCCCAGTCAGGGCACATGTCTGAGCTGTGGGCCAGGTCCTCTTTGGGGGCTTGTAAGAGGCAACCACACATTGGTGTTTCCCTCCCTCTCTTTCTCCCTCCTTTCCCCTCTCTCTAAAGATAAATAATAAATAAATGAAGAAGTAAACTTTTTGAAAAAGAATAAAATACCTAGAAATAAACTTAACAAAGGACGTGAAAGACCTATACACTGAAATAATATATTATTAAGAGATTGAAGAATACACACACACAAAAATGGAAAGATATTTCATGTTCATGGATTGAAAGAATCAGTGTAGTTAAAATGGCCATATTACCCAAAGCAATATACAGATTCAATGCAATTCCCCATCAAAATCCCAAGGGCATGGCACTTTTTAAGGAAGAAAACAAGAAAATGAGCAGATTTGTACGGAATCAAAAGATCCCAAGTAGCCAAAGCAATCCTGAGAAGAAAAAAGAACAAAGCCAGAGGTATCACACTCCCGGACTTCAAATTAAATTACAATGACATTTTTTAAAAGGGTGGAAAGACCACAGAGTGGGAAGAATTGGGACAACTGTAATAGCATTTACAATAAAAAAAAAGCATTTAGGAAACATCCTTTCCATTAAGTAGACCTCTTAACAGAAGACACTAAAGAGGCATGACTTATCAAAATGCATCCCTACAGCCCCTGGCCCCCAGAGGTGCTCTGGAAGTCTCTTATGGTTACTGAGCTACATTTTATCACCTTAGGAGTGGACCCAAGAGCCTCGGGTGGTTCCCTTGGTTCTAACGTTTTCACAAATGTATTTCTCTTTTCCTACCATAAAAGTTGTTAAATAGTTTAAAATAATGTTCCCCAAAGATTTACCTGGCTATGGTTCTCACTAACTAAATTATGGAGGTGTGGGGAGAGAACCTTATCTCTTTTGCAGTGAAACTTGGAGGCTTCTGCTCAGCATCTTAACCTTGGGAAAGGCCGTGCTGTAGTGCTGAAATGTATCAATAGAAACTGATATTTTAAAAAGGGTAATTAAAAAGAGTAATGGAGGCGGCGAGGATGGGACAACTATAATTGAACAACAATAAAAAAACAAACATAAAAATTTTTTAAAAAGTTTAAAAAAGAAAAATTAACACAAGCATCTATATTTTTAAAATATTAATCTGTTCAAAATATGTTAGTAGACAACAGCTCTTAAATTTATATTAAAGAAATCACCATTTTGGTAAAAAGCAATACAATTACTTTGAATATTAAAGTTATGAGAAGCAAATACTCTCTACCACCTGTTCTCTCATTCCATAACAAATGGATAACTAATGGCAGAACTTTGTTCAATTTTGTCCTAATTTGTCAAGAAATGTGGACAAATGTGTGACATTTTTACACATAACTTTTATTTTTATGCATCTATATTAGATATATTAGAGGACACTTTGAAAACGTAAAGAACCCACAGACCCTTCCTGTTTGTACAGAATTAAAATAAGCATTTCTCAGTGGTAAAGATTATTATCGCTGATCTGCACTGAGCACTCACCATGTGCTCTCAACACTTTCTGTGTACTTTACAGGTCAGCACTTGACCACCACACCCGCCCTCGCAATAATCTTGTCTGGTAAATATTGGCGACTGCTACCCCGGGAGGCTGACGAACTTGTCCCAGATCATTCTCTATTAAGTATGATTTGAGAGGCTAGCTCTAAAAGGAAGATTTCTTTCAGTTAACAGAGTTTTAAAACTGTATCCATTATCAACAAAGTCGACAGATTTAAGGATACTCAGAAATGAAACCGATCAGACAAGAAGAGCAGTTGTATCCCACTGGTCACATTGCCCTTGGTCGGGCATTCCAACCATTTCACTGCTAAATGTACTAGTGAGATTGTATCTGAATTAAAAAAGATGATATTCACCCTCTCCTCTCAGCTCATCAGCACACACCTAGAGTATCACACTCATTGCTGAAGGCTACATATATAAGCAAAGCAAGTCTATTCAGGTTAGAGTAACCAGGATGGTGAGGAGACATGAAATTGGGTCACATGGAAAATGTGTAACTAGGAGAGGTTAGCGTAAGGAAAAGAAGGTTTAGAAAAAACACGAGTGCCACCCTCCAATGGGATGTCCCATACAAGATGATGTTATAGCCTTAACGTTTGTATTCCTCCAAAATTCACTTGTTGAAATCTAATCCCCAAAGTGGCCATATTTGGAAATGGGGCTTTGGGCAGCTAATTCCTGAATAGAATTAGTGACCTTGTAAAAAGAGGCCTGAGAGCTAGCAAGCCCCCTCTAGCATATAAATAAATAAGAAAATGACTGTTTTCTTATCACGACCACATCAAGACTGAAGGGATTCAATCATCCGGTGAGCATTTGGGCTGTGTGACCTTCACTACACCTTCGTCCACACACTGTATGACTCTACAATCATCTGTTTGGAATGTAAGACCAGACAGAAGCCTTAGGATGAAAAATGGGGAAAAAAGATC